TCATTGTATGATGGAGAGATGCCAAATTGAACTGTAAATGCCTGCCCGAACAAATATAAAAAAAAACAAATTGCTTCATGCTTCAATAAGATGGAGTGTTTTGCAGCTAATGTACTAAAGTATACTTTCCGGCAGAATATCAGTCTCAGGCAATTTGTATCGTGCTTCATTTAAAATGGAATTCAACTAATTTTCATTCAAGAACATTGGGTAGGGAACACAAGAATGCCACTTAGGTCCTAAAAGGTGAAGCTGTCAGGGTCCTAGTGGCATGGAGAAGTTATGCACTGACTTGTGAGTTCTATAGAAGGAAACACTGGCTAATCACAACCTCAGGGGTATTTCAAAATACCTTTCACTTAATGAAGTGCCTCTGACATGGAGTTACTGTGGTAATAGAGCGACACAGCAACCAATTTACACACAGCCAACTCTCACAAACAGAAATATGATGAGGATCAAACAATAAGGTTTTAATGATGTTAAGTGAGAGATAAATGTGACCAAGCAACTGGGGACAGGTGCTCTGTTCTAAAACCCCAGGTATTTGCAGGTAGAAAATAGAATCGGGGGGGGCTTGGCAATGTTCACTCAAATTTGTGTTGTGCCTGTGTAGAATTCTGAATTGTTTGAGTGGTTTATTTAAACTAGAGGGGAAGTCAGTCAGAGCAGGATCACAACACATGTGTGGGGTTGGTTAGCTGCTGCAGGTAAATGGCAGCCAATCCTTCTGCTGAAGAGCCCATTGTGGCCCTAAACTGGCCAGTTCATCGGGTATAATACGTATGGCAAGGGAAGATGGAGCAGGGATGGTCTTTTCATGACTTTGGATGGGGGGGGAAGCCTTATTTTTGGAGTGCCCTGTGTCCATCACTGGCATCCCCCACCTCCTGCCATCCAGAACCTGATGGCCTTTGTCCCCACCCAAGCAAAAACCATGAACTTTCCTTCCAAGTCTAGCTCCATTTTCTTCTTTCTTGGGAGGGGTGTAGTCCCAGCAGTTCCAAGAGTTCTGGCAGTGGTAGGACTACTCAATCTAATTGGTCAGCAGATCTTGAGGAGAATTCCTTTCTCTGAGGGGTGCAATTCCTAATCACAACTGATTAAGGCTGCTACCAACCTGTTATCACCATGGGACAGTATTTTTCTAAAGCTGGTCAGCTCAAGGCTGACTTCTTGACAATTCATTTCACATACATGTAACTCCTGAAGACACATGATACTGGAGCAGGATTTTGCATCGCTCTTTGCTCAGAGGTGTATTTGTATCATCATGGCAAAGGAAGTAAACAGCAAATACTTGCACCACTCGGAAAAAGAAACTGATCAGGAGATTAAATGGCACTGAAAATTAATAGGTACAGGAGTGCCTCCCAGACAAACAAATCCCAGTTTTGGCAGTCACTTGCACTCTGTTATTTTGAATGTAGGGATTATGTGTAGAATAGGTGAGTTACAGGGGAATGGGTCTGGGTGGGATGCTCTGAGGTTCGGTGTGGACTTGTTGGGTTGAAAAGCCTGTTTCCACACTGTAGGGATTATGTGTGTAGAATGGAATTGCACAACAGTTCCTTGGTTAGGATATTACGTTTTGCGCAAAAATATAAATAGCCCTTTTGCCCCAACCACTTTGTTATATGTCAAATAACATACCCAGCTATTCTACATCCAGCTGACCAGACATAATGACTACATTGTCGACCAAACCAAGCCAATAAAATTAGAAGACTTTCAGCTTCATTATCGACTGTCAAGTAAACTCTGCCTTTGGGTATTTTGATACTAACCGATGAGTGGAGATGGGTGGAAGCACAGTGAAGTTTACTGCTGCCTGATGCCCCTCTGTTCCCTACAGATTGTTGTTTACACTTGATGAAGTGAAAAGTTAGCAAAGAAACCAAAAATATTGTAGATGAGGAGCAGAGGATGCTGCAAAGCTGACCATAGCAGCATTGTGGTCCTGGAATTGCAGGGAAAGATTTCAGTTAAAAATAACACAAACAGAGATTATCTCTCACCTCCTTTGCTGCCAAACTTCTTTTATAATTCTTCTTCCCATCACGACTATTTCAGATAAAGATGAAATTATGAAACCATACATATTTATGGCATGGAATAAGTCCATCAGGCCATCCAAATGTGCTGTAATTTACATAGCAACTAAACCCATCCCCCTGCTCTCTCTGCAGAGTGCTGCATCCTCCTTTGCTTTAAAGGATGATAAGTTTCTCCTTAATAAGAGCAATATTTCCCTATAGTAAAGTTGGCGCTGCCCTGTGTAAAGAATCTCTTTAGCGTTCTCCTTCCTTACAGTATAAAATTTACATAGACCACCCCTCCCAAACTGATATAACTAAAGGAAATTTTCTTTTCCATATTCACTTCATCAAAACTTTTCATAAAGGAACTAAGACTCTTCGTTTTATGTATAGACGCTTGGTGGCATCAACCTTGCAATTCAGATGGGTTTAGGCTAAGACGGAGATAAAATTAGTAAGAAGTTTCGAACCCAAGCCCAGCATGTGGCAAGCAGTTTTAATAGAAGCATGGTAAAGACTAGGCAACTGAGTTATTCTCAGATCCATGTCAGCCACTGTAATCTTTTAAGGAGAAACTGTTCCTTTACTTGTACAAAGTTTCTATTTCTAGCTGTTACTGGCTGGGTCTCCCTGTTCTCTGGAAACCAGCCATGTGAAAGAAAGTGAAAAGGGTTGGATCCATCAGTTAAGAGCCTTTAAAGTACTGCTTGTGGACCAAGAGCAGCTGGTATGTTTCCTACAGGTCCAACAGGTAGGCAGAAAATCTCCCTCCAGTTACCCATCTCCAAAATCTTCTCCACTTCAATCACTCTTCAATGCCTACAGTCTCTGATCACCAGCCCCGATCTCTTACCCCCAACCCTGCAATCTATCATCTTCCCTTACCTAGTCATGAGCCCTGCACTATGCCGAAATGAACACTAGCGTAATGAACAATTGGCCTCATTCATGCTCTTTCATTTTTTGATTTTAAACAGCTTGGTCAAATCTCCTCCTAACATCAGAGCTACAGTGGAAATTGTCACAGTTAATTCAATTCTTATAACTATAGTTTCCCATTCCTGATGTCTTTCTGGGGATCCATGTTGTTTGCTCTTTACAGTGTTGATATCAAGTACCTAAACGTGTGTATTGACTCAGTTACCTAAAGTGAGGGAGCAGGGAACAAGACTGTTGCAGGGAACACCAACACTTCACAGATGTAGGGATCCAGCCAAACTGAATGCAGGAGTCTTGCTATTTTTCCGCACTGCTTCCTGGCCTGATTGACAGGTTGTCTGGTCACAGGTCGGGAAAGCCACACTTCTTCCAGACAAGTATGGGCTGGAGAGATCTCTTCTGTTCAGGTGGTTTGCCAGATCTGACTGATTTCACACTGCCAAGCTCATGATAGATGGTTCTAAATGTTGGCCTCAATCCAACATATAAATGGGAGGATAAAAAGTGATTGGAATTCTTCCAGAGCATAGAGATTAGAGTTGGAGCCTGGTAATGATGAGGAATGGAAAGGATTGGAGATTTGATGGTGGAGAGTGGGTGTTGACTGATTACAGCAGAGAATGGAGGCCATGTACAACAGGAGCTTTGCATTTGGAGCTGGAAGGCGAATTCCTGCTGTTCTTGGCTCACAAGCATTGTTCTAAAATAGATACACTTACTGCTGTAAGTGGCTCCGTTCTCCGCTTACTGCCTGGTTTCCCGAAGCTTGGGAAAATAAGCACCCGTTTGATTTAAATTAGCTGCACCACGAAAGTTGATTTGAATATTAAAACGCAGTGTTGCACCTTTCCAAAAAGTGACACGATGCGTGCCTCAAAAAATGGCAGCAGACACCTGTGTGAAGGGTTAATTTTAATATTTCACAATATTTAACTTTCAAACACTCCTGACTGTCTCCCACCCTTTGAATGAGAGGCTAATGCAGAGTCCATAATATTTTGAATTTTGCAATTAATTCTTTACTCTTCTGTTCTACGTTTCTATTCATAGTCTTCAAAATGCTTCTGGCATTTTGTTTATAGCTTGGCAGTCCTACACAACATTGGCTGGGGTTTCGGTATATTCAATATTACTGACTTTGTACATGTTCCATGCTCGTTCAGGGACTGTTACTGTCACCAGAGTAGCAAAGTTAACTTAACAGCTGAAACTGAACTTGTAACTGGTGACAGGATGGGGTGGTGGGGGTTCTAAAAAGATCTACATTGGGCCTGCACAGTCCTGTCTGAACATGCTCAAAACTGGCAATTGTGAGAAATGAACTCTGTAGCAGAATCAGAGTGAAAAGGAAAACCAGGAGCCGAGAGTAAAATGAATCCATTTCCTGGGCTTTTGTTTGTGACGAGAGCAAGTCTCCCTCCTTATTCACTAATCCCCTCTGAGTTGGTCACTCAATTCTAGATGTCAACCTGATGGTAGTTTCTTAACCATTCTGTGGAAGATATCAAGTGGGCTGCAGTGACGCTAACTTTGATTTTCCTTCTTCCCCCCTGTCCAGTGATACTGAAGTGAGCACATGGAGAATATTGGTGTCAAATCTACAATCAACACCTTGTCATCTCAGCATCATCTCATGGTACAGTAGATCAGGCCACTGCCAGATTGACCAGTCTGTAAAGCATCTTTAAGGGCAACCACTGACATTTGCGTCTCTGTATTGCTGAAAATAACTGCAGAAGGTCAATCCTCATTCAATGATAGATCCTAAATTGTATTTTTATGTTAATCTAAACACGTTTACTGATCCAGAACATACTAAAGGCAATAACAAATAGAACTTCACAGATTACATTTTCCTGTGTCTCTTCACACCTTTTTCGCTTCTTTTTCCTTCTGCCTTTCTCTTCGTTTACTTGTTGTCATGTTATGACTGGTTCTCAGGCATGGGTCCCCAATTCATTATGATTCCTGATGGGGCACCTCCAATTTGTTATAGTCCTGGGCAAGGAGGGAGAAACTGACTCCTCTTTATTCAAAGCCCGTCTGGCTTTGGTTAGTTATGATATAGATAATTTAACGACACCTTTCTCAGCTCCAATACATTTACGATTTAAAAGGAGCCAGTTTAACCAGGGTTTCTAGGGCTAAAGAAAGCATGTGCTTATTAGATACTACAATCCAAGGAAATACGATAAAACACAACACACCGATACAGATTAGAAATGAGAAGTGAGGAGAAACTTAACAGTTAGAAAAACAATATACAAATCAGTGTTTGACATGTCTATGGGGAGTTGATGGTGTAACACTGTGGCCATTAAATTAGATGGTTCTAGTAGTGATGACTGGCAGTTGAGCAGATGGTCTGGAGGTTTTAGGTTTTGCAATTAACCTAAAAGGAAATGTCCTATTTCCTTTTTAGTGATAGTAGGAATTGCTAGAAAATTTTCTGAGGAAGGGTCTCGACCCGAAACGTCAGCTTTCCTGCTCCTCTGATGCTGCTTGGCCTGCTGTGTTCATCCAGCTCTACACCGTGTTATCTCAGATTCTCCAGCGTCGGCAGTTCCTACTATCTCCTTTTTAGTGGTTGCTTTGCTGATTCGCAACTTGCTTCCACCAGCAGAACAAGTACACCAGTCAGCACCCAAAATCCCAGATTGCTGTTTTGTTTTAGTGCCTTCTCTTGTGCATGAGAAAATACAAACACATGCTTTATCCAAAACTGAGATAATAAGGTGTAGAGCTGGATGAACACAGCAGGCCAAGCAGCAGGAAAGCTGACGTTTCAGGCCTAGACCCTTCTTCAGAAAACTGCTGTCTTTTACCTCTCATTGTGTTTATGGTCTGGGACATAACTTACAGGAAATGTTTTTTAATTGAGGTAGTAACTGGCCTCCATCATCTTGATTCTAAGTCAGTATTCACATTGGATCCCTGTTCAAGTGCCTCTGTCTAAAGTTCCTTGACACACACAAGATGCAACATTCCATGCTATCTCCCAGGATGGAGAATCCACATTCGGAATTTTCCAGACTGTCACTGAATTACATTTTCAGAACTTACATTCCCAACAATCTTTGGCTTGTACATCCTTTTTTAAAATTTTTAAATGAAAAACTGTCTTAATTAAAAGTTCAGCATTTCCAAAGCTAACTCAGAGCTACGATCCATTGTCATTATTATCATGATCACACAAACATGGGGTGTTTTCTTTTTGTCGACAGTAGCAATGTCAAAGATTAAGTATCTCTTTGCAATTTCTATTGCTAAAGGAAGAAATTAGAACTTACATTTGTAGAATGTCATTCAAAGTTCTTTTCACTGTTGTACTGTAGGAAACCAATTTGCACAGAAAGGTTTCATTAACAGCAGTCCAATTATAATCAAATAATCTGGATTTAGCAATGCTTTAAGGGAGACATGTTGGTAAGGTCAATTTGGCTAACAGAGAAATTGGCCTCCTGCTCATTCCCTACAGGCTGAATCTATGTACACAGTATGTTGACTGATCTGATTGGCAACACCACTCCCACAACCACTGGGACATTTGATGCTTGTCACATTAAATATACCATTTTTGGTGAACTAAAAGCTGGTGTGCTTCATATTTTTGGAACATATGAATTCTTAATACCCAAGAGATGTGACTTGGTCCAAAAAAATGCTCTTTCTTCCAAATTACTATCTCAGTTTACTATTTGCTAAGATGACTGCTTTGTTCATGACTTATTTAAGTTCATTTCAATATATCAGCTACATTAATGGTGCAGTTTGATGCAAGGCAGTCCTCCCTAATCTTTCAGTTCCCATTTTCAAAACTCTGCATTGAATTCAAACTGTCTCTACCCACACTAATTGTTTCAGTCGGGGGCTACACTGATTATGGTGTCATTGTGAAAACAATGGCAATATTGAACTCAAAGAGCTACTCCACTCAATGGTGTGAGATTGCAGCCAAGGAGAGATGAAATTCACAAAGGACTCAGTCACAACTGTTGAAAAATTGTGATTAAAAGTCCCTGAAAGCCAAATATTTTAAAGAACACAGAATGCTCGACCTCTTGGCAAAACTGCACATACAGCTACTGGCTGAAATCTCTCTTTAAGATGGCAGAGTGCCTGTTCAATTACAACAGGAAGTGTGGCTTGAAAATGTATGATTTGTAAGAATATTATTTCATGAGCAATTCTTTAACTACACTAAGATTCAAAAGGGAAATGCTCCCTATTTAAAAAAACGTTAAGTTGATTTTCCAACTACCAGAAACAAACTTAATGAGAGTGAAACTGAACAAAGAAAGAACAAAGAACAATACAGCACAGGAACAGGCCCTTCGGCGCCACATGTTGCCCTTCCATACTAAAACTGTCTTCACTTAACAGGATCTGCATCCCTCTATTCCCTTCCTATTCATGTATTCGTCCAGGTGCTTCTTGAATGCAGCTATTGCGTCTGCTTTCACCACCTCCTTATGCTGTTTTGAACATGGTTTTTATATTAGCAGCAGAACGATTGAGTACGACTTGTCAAGACTATGGAGGGAGCTGAAACAAATACAGAAAATGCTGGAGAAACTCAGCAGGTCTGGCAGTATCTGTGGAGAGAGAAACAGAGTCAACGTCTTGAGTCCGATATGACTTTTTCAGAACCCAAATGAGCAGATCTTATACTACTTTCCAAAGTGAATTAGAGAAATACATGAAGAGGGAACATTTACGAGCCAATCCAGAAATGACAAGGGAATAGGTCTTCTTGGATTGCTTTTACAAAGGGATGACATGGGCATGATGGGCCAAACAGTCGCCTTCTCTGCTTTATCATTCATGATTCTATAATTCCATTGGACCTCTTGGGAACTGTTTAATCTGAATACAGCACCATGTAATGTTCCTGCCTCTGGACCAGAAGGTCTGAGTTCAAATCCCAGCTGTGCAAGAAATGTGTCAGAACAGGTTGATTCAAAATTCTTACAAGCTCTGTAATGTAATCAGAGAAGCAAAACTCTTTCTTCCAAATATTAAAAAATTAGCCTTTAGGGAGCACAGCTATTCACTTGTAGGCAAGGAGCTATTCATCACTGAACTTGACCAGTGTTATAACTTGTTTTTACTGTGTGCTCATTACAAGGTACACATACTGGTTTCAGTGCACAGCATTGTATGCAGCATAATCATAACCTCAAGAGAAAAGGCTTATAATACACATGAAAAAATACTTGCTATTTCAAGATGAGTAAACATTTACAATTAGCATGGACAAAAACGTGAGCAATTTTAGTTTCATTAATTTGTAACTATCAATGATTGACCATGAATGGGAATGCAGGTAGTATAGGTGAGAGTCTTGGCACTACAGCCCTCCCTTTGAGGGCAGTTTCCCCTTAGAATGCAGGACCAGTGAATTTTCCTTTATATTATTTAGTTTTGGAGGTTTCTCAGTGTGCTGAAAGACGGTCCACCTGCAACTATTTAATCTGTGAAGAACATCAGACAAAAAGAAATCAATAAGCTGTGAAAATATTTTTCCTATTGTTATAGTTCCGACCCAGAATGTGACATCTTGGCTTGGTGTTTAATGGAGCAGTGCAATGTAGAACAAATGGATTTTCTCTGTAATACATTACATTTCTTTCATAGATTAGCGCTTCAAATGTTGCCTTTTTTTAGAACAATCATTGCACAGGGAATCTTTCCTCTCTTTCAGAAAAGTTAGCATTTATAGCTTGTTTTTTTTTGTAACATGTCAGCTGCTGGAGTCTGTAATGCTGAATATCACTGGAGGTGAGAGTGATCCTCAATTATAGTGAGTGGTACCCTGTTCCCAGCCTTTCTCTTAAAAAAAAATCATATGAGGTCAAATGTGTCACTGGCTGGGCTAGTATTTATTGTCCAGAGGACAGTTCAGACCACATTGTTATGGATGCAGATTCACACATAGGAAGTCTTACCTGATTTGGCCTATCAATAATAGGACATCAATGAACCAGATGGATTTTTACTACAATCGAAGTGGTTGCAATTAGGCCAGCTTTCTATTCCAGATTTCTCTGCTATGGTGAGATTTGAATCCATGTCCAAAGCACACTGGCTCAATGTTCTGAATTTTTAGCCCAGTGGCATTACTACCATGCCACTGGCTCTCCTTGCTCAATGATCTTTTCCAGATGAAGCCCATTAAAAAGTAACTCGAGTGAAATGTAAACAATGTTAGTCCATTCACCACTTCGTACTATAACTGAAGACTGATGTCATTCCTCCACTCTAACACAACCTGGTGTCTACAACTTGAGAATATTTTGCAGTAAAATGCTTATCCTACCTCTAATTCATCATCATGTAATCCGGTAAGATGAAGAATTCCATTATCACCTACAAAAATACTTATCAAATGACATGACCCTTGCCAATATCAGAGCTGAAAAGCCACAGGGAATGTGTTACCGAAGTATACAGGATCAGGAAGGCCTGGCATGTGATCCCAAATATGCGTGAAATTTGTTGACCTCGACAGAGTCCCATCCAAGTTTGCTAGCAATACAAAGGTAGGTGGGAAAGCTAGTTGTGAGGAGGCCACAGAGAATTCGAAAGGAATGTCAATAGGTTTACTGAGTAAGCAATAAATTGGCAGGCAGAATATAATGAGAAGAATTCAGATTATCCAGTTGGGTAGGAAGGACAGGAAAGCAGATCATTTAAATGGAGATTGACTGCAGAATACTGTACTACAGAGGTATGTGGGTACAATTATAAAGAGAAATACAAAAATGTTATTGTCTGGAAGCTCAGCAAGTCAGGAATGTAAATAGATTGTAAGCCTTTAAAAAAAAAACAAGGAAATATCACTGCCACCATCCTGAGCATCGTTCTGCTGGTGGACTCACTACAATAGGCTCAGCATCCCTGGAATTAGGAGTGGGGAGAGGAATTTGAGTGATATTGGAGAGTCATCCAATATCTTCATTTGGTCATCTGCTGAGGAGGGTTCTGGGCACAGCTGACGACACTTAAGTTTAGACTTTTTCAGCTAGTCATTTTAACACAGGCCTCAATCTCATTTATCTTAAATGGGCTAACACTTGTAAAACATGGCTTTCATGATCTGAACTAGCACTTAGTATTGGCACCTGGTGTAGGAGGACTGCACGTGTGCATGTGTGCGTGCCTGTATCTGTGTGTGCATCTGTATCTGTGTGTGTGACTGTCTGCGTGTGCGTGCCTGTGTCTGTGTGTGCGTGACTGTCTGTGCGTGCGCGCCTGTATCTGTGTGTGCGTGCCTGTGTCTGTGTGTGCGTGACTGTATCTGTGTGTGCGTGACTGTATCTGTGTGTGCGTGACTGTATCTGTGTGTGCGTGACTGTATCTGTGTGCGTGTGCCTGTGTCTGTGTGTTCGTGTTGTCTGTGTGTGCGTG